CAAAGTCAGACTGGGTACAAATTGGATCTTTGAAAATCAATACTTAGTGCTGAAAGATAGGAGGAAAGGTATTAAAGTATCTGATAGCTGCTTTGAGGAATTGGACCTCTGGGTGCAAGTCTATAATGTACCCTAGACTGGTTAACCCTGGAGGTAGGGATCAAAATAAGCAAGGTTTTCAAAGGAGTTAGGAATGTTAACATCACCAATGCTATGGGAGCAGGAGGAAGAATTCTTAGACTCCTAGTTACAGTTGATACCACCAAATCCACCCCAAGATGTACATCCATAAGGCTGGGAGATGAAACCTCTACAGTGAGCTTCAAATATGAAAGACTGGTTAACCTTTGTTATTACTGTGGAGAAATTGGTCATTTGGACAGGGAATGCCAAAAGAAAATTCAGGATATTGTCTTAGGAGACATCAAACAGGGACAATATGGAGAATGGTTAAGGGCAGGAGATACAAAAATGGGTACCACCTCGAGTCCGCAAAGCAGATCAGCAGATAGGAACCCAGAACCATCCACTGACACTAATAAGGAGCAAGACACACCAACAGATAAGGAATCAGACAGCTTAAGACTCCTCACAGACATAGCAGAAAACCATGGCCATCATCAACACTAATCACATGAAAAAGCTAGTCTAGTGGAATCCAGTTCCTCTAGGCAAGAAATTCAAAGCTATCATGGAAGGTGTGAATCAACTGAACCACAGCAAAAGGAGCTTGGGAAAGAGATAGTGCAATATGAAGAAAACTGCCCTTCTCTAGACATCGCTCAAAAGGGAAGTACTGAACAATATATCTCTCCCACTGAACAACTGTTGGCAAGTCCTATGGACACTCAAGGGCCCAAACAGAGAACATGGAAAAGAATTGGAGCTAAAGAAGGCAGGCTACAGAGAAATCTAACGGAAGACCTAACAACCCAGGATCAAGGAACCAAAAGAGGAAGAATTGCTCTAAAAACCTTGTCTACTGTCCAAGAAGACTCAATGCCAGAGGAATCAGATAAAAAAAAACTGAAAGCAGACTCATCCCAGGTGGAGAAGGCTAGCCTTGAATGGCCCCAAAGTGAACCATGAAAGCTGTGGTGTGGAATTGTAGAGGCCTGGGTGGGGCCTCTACAGTTTCCCAGCTGAGGGATTCTTTAAAATCCCATCACCCACATTTTATTTTCCTATCAGAAACAAAAAATACTAATCCTTTTGTTTTAACTGTTTGTAAAAAACTAGGCTTCTCTGAGAGGCACAAAACTGTAGAACCAAGGGGACTGAGTGGAGGGCTACTCCTGGCCTGGAGTAGGGAAGTGGAGATTAATCAAATCATCAGTCAACTTCTACTTTGAGGTTGAATTTAGAACACAACACCAGGATCAATTCAGATGGATAGTCTTTGTCTACCTTAGCACTGATAAGAGGCTAAGAGAAAATCAATGGAATGAACTGGAAGCTAAAAAAGGAAATTGGGGTGATCATTGGTGCATGATTGGGGACTGGAACGATTTGGCAAATGTGGATGACAAAAAAGGGGGCAGGAAAAGAACACCAGCTAGTATTTTGGGTTTCCAGACTTTCATTGCCAATATGGGGATGGGGGAAGTGCATAGAAAGGGATACCCCTATACTTGGGGTAACAACAGGGACCAAGAAGGTTTTGTAGAAGAAGCACTGGACAAAGCTTATGCATCTCTTGAATGGCTCAGAACTTATCCAGGGACACAAGCAACTTCTTTCTTTAAAAGCTCTTCTGACCATCACCTCCTTCTCCTTGAAGATGATCCAACAACTACCAACCCCAAGAGCAGGTTCCATTTTGATAAAAGATGGATAAAAAGGGATGGGCTAGATGAAGTTGTGCAGACAGCTTGGAATGGAAATCAAGAAGGCACACCTCTCTTCATACTCAAAGAGAAGATAAAAAAAACCAGAGAGGCTCTGATCAGATGGAGCAAAAACTTCAGGGCAGACCACATATCAAAAGTCAGGGGAACTTCTCTCAGACTTGAGGAAATGAGAGAGGAAGGGGGGAACCGAGACTGGGAAGAATGGGATATGCTTCAAAAAGAGATGGACACATCAAACCTATCTGAGGAACTCTTCTGGCAGCAAAAAGCTAGAGCCTAGTGGCTCAAAGAGGGAGACCAAAATACCCATTTCTTTCATGCCTGAGTTATGCAAAGAAGGAGACTCAATGCTATCACCAGACTTGTTACTGAGCAGCAGAATGTTTGTGATACTAAAGAAGCAATCCAGGAGCATGTGGAAGACTTCTACAACAGCTTATTCACCACTGAAGGCTCTTCTGGGGGTGAGAGTATTCTTCAGGATGTGCCACATACCATCTCAGACTCAATTAACTCAGAGCTCCTGGCCCAAGTCGAAGAAGAAGAGATAAAACAGGCACTCTTTTCCATGAATCCTTCTAAATCTCCAGGTTCTGATGGCATGCCTGCCCTATTTTTCCAGCATTTTTGGCCTATAATTAAGCAAGACTTGTGTGAAGCTGTTTTTAGTTTCTTTCTCTCTGGGAAAATGCTTAACTACTGGAATCATACCCTTATAACTCTTGTTTCTAAATGTGCAACTCCTGACTACCTTTCCCAGTACAGACCCATTAGTTTATGTGCAGTAGTCTACAAACTCATTTCTAAAATTCTTGCTGGTAGACTTAGAAACTGTCTTCATTGCTGCATACATGAAGCTCAATCTGCTTTTTTACCTGGGAGGCAATTAACTGACAATGTGGTCATAGAAAATGAGGGTATCCATTTCCTAAATAGGCATCACACAGGCAAGCATTCTTTTATGGCTATCAAACTGGATATGATGAAGGCATTTGACAGAATTGAGTGGAAATGTATCAGAATGACTATGCTTAAAATGGGTTTTGCAGCTCAATTTGTTAACTGGATTATGGAGTGTGTGTCTACTGTCTCCTTCTCCTTCATTCTTAATGGCAGCATCAGTGGATACATCAATGCGCAGAGAGGCTTAAGGCAGGGGGACCCTCTGTCCCCCTACTTGTTTATCATTGTCTCTTAAGTCCTTTCTGCTATGATTACAGCTGCTGTGGATAGGGAAATTTCAGGGGTCTATCTTTAGCCAGAGGGGCTCCTATCCTAACACACCTTCTATTTGCGGATGACTCTATAGTTTTCTGTAAAGCAGATGGATATCAAGCTAGAGCCATCAAATCAATTCTTGACTGCTACCAGAAATTTTCAAGACAGAAGGTTAACACTTCCAAATCTTCCATCTTTTTCAGTAAGAACTCCAGTACACTAATCCAACAACAAGTCTGCCACTTCTTTCCTGGTATTCAAGTGCAGAACTCCTCAAGATATCTAGGGCTACCTTTTGGCATTGGTAAGTCAAAAAAGGAAGTCTTAGGGTTTGTGACTGAGGCTGTTAGGAAAATGGTGCTCAGCTGGAAAAACAAGTACCTATCATCTGCTGGGAAGGAGGTACTTGTCAAATCTATTCTGAATGCACTTCCACTGTTTGTTATGTCATGCTTTAGACTGCCAGTTGCCATATGCAAGGAAGTGACATGCATCATTGCAAATTTCTGGTGGAAGAAGAACAATGAGCAGCACAGTGGAATCCATTGGAAGAGATGGGACTTATTGACACTTACAAAGAAGCAGGGTGGGCTTGGTTTTAAGGACTTATCTCTCTTCAATGATGCTATGTTGGTAAAGCAAATTTGGAGAGTGATAACACAGCCACATCTCCTTATGAGTAGAATACTTAAAAGCAAATATTTCGCTAACTCTTCCATCTTTGAAGCTACACAGAATCAGAACTCCTCTTGGCTATGGAGATCATGGCTAAAAGTCAGATGAATCCTAAAAGAAGGCTTAACTGTAGACATAAAAAATGGAGCAACTGTCCAACTGCAAGATTTTAATTGGGTCCCTGGTATCAGAGGAAGACCTTTGCAGTTCAAGGATGCAGCTGACCACAAGAAACTCTTGGTGAAGGACCTCATGAATGCAGACAACACCTGGAATGAGCAAAAAGTGAAGGAAATTTTTGTGGCACAGGACAACTCTGAAATCCTCAAAATCAACACAATTGATCCTCTTCTGCCTGACAGGTGGAGATGGAGCATTGACACCAAAGGCAGATTCTCAGTCTCATCATCCTATGCTTTTTCTTTTTCTCAGAAAATTTCAATCCCTTGACATTGCAGAAGGAAGCAGCACAGCTATCAGAAACCATCAAGCAAGACACAGAAGTTGGAGCATAAGAACCAAAGGCAAATTAAAACATTTTCTTTGGAAGTGCTACACCAACTCCATGCCTGTGAACCTAAATCTGAAAAAAAAGGGAGTTGATGTTGATGCCACCTGCCCCTACTGTGGAGAAGCTCTAGAGACTGTTGAGCATACTTTTCTCACATGTTCCAGAGCAAGAAGGGTGTGGAAGATGGCACCGGTTAGCTGGGGTGGAATTGAAGTGGATAGTTTTCAATTCAGTGACTGGTGGGGAACAATATGCTGTTTGGATAAGTCCAAAGCCACTGAAGAAATAATAGAACTCACAACTTACATATTATGGTGGCTTTGGAAGTCTCGAAACCTTTGGGTATTTGAGAAAAAATGGCGGCCCGAGCACAACATTGTTAAAGGTGCTTTGAAAGAATGGCAAGAAACAAAGACCAAGTGCACTTGATGCTCCTGCAAACTATGAGTCCATAACTAGGTCTACTTTGTAGTTCGTGGTTTGACCTCTGTTTGTATTATGGTTTGTTTATTTTTTCATTAAAGGATCCAGCTATGTCCTGCCTTGTGATTTGTATATGTTTAGCCTACTTGTGTTAGTAGTGCTCTCTGGTTTATTACCTTCGGCTTTTGGCTTGTAACCGTGTGGATAATTGTGTGTAATAGACATTATGTTGCTATTTATGAAAATTCCTATCGTTTGGAAAAAAAAAAATAAAAAAATTGAGTTTATTTATAAGCAAACGCGCCGTTGAGATTTCGTGCAACCAAAAACCTGTCGTCACGAAGCCAAGGCCATTTGTAAAATGGCTGCTGCCAGAAAGTGTTTTCTCGTCACTGGTCCTCCGGTAATTTTATAGGTTTAAAACTCTTTCGTTATGAATATTACAAACATATTTATTCATTTGTTGTGGTATTGTTTGCAGGGAGTCGGCAAAACAACTCTTATAATTCGTGTTCTCGAGTCCCTCCAACAATTGAATCCCAGCTTCAAATTTCAGGGGTTTTATACTCGTATATCCAAATTCTCTTTATTTATTTCCACACATGGCATATAAGTTATTCTCCTATCTCACGATTTCGATATATTATCTTGTTTCTCTTCTTTTCTTTTGATGTTTCTATTCGACCAGCTATTGGTATTGGATATTTGTAATTTTAGCAATATATGATTGTTATATCATGGTAATATTCTTGGATTTTTTTCTTTATTTTTAATTGGAGTTTTTAATGAACTTGTTTGTTTGTTATTGGAGTTGCTGATGTAAAGTTAACTCGATTGTTGGTAGCAAAGGAAAAATGTTCAACTTAATTGGTGACGGGAGCTTATATATTGCATTTTGGGTTGACGGTTTTATCTGTTTCATTTTGCTGAAAGATTTTATTTATAATTGAATTACACAGGTGAGGTTAGAGAAGGGACCCAAAGGGCAGGGTTTGAAGTGGTTACTGTTGGTGGTCGCAAAGGTCCTCTCGCATCCACTCATATTTCTAGGTGCTTCAATTTTTTAGTTTGAGTTGCTTCTTCTTCTGCGATATCACATAATTCTTTGATAGTTTGTTGGTTCCTTAAAAAAATGACAAATAGAACAGATTTATCTTAAGATATTGATGCCAAATAATGTATGCTGGTGAGTACCTTTGGCTTACGTATTGCATGTTGGAATCATTATTTCATTTATTTGTATAAACTTGAGAATTGGTATGGTTTCGAATATGAGAACTGGATTTGTCATAAAGTAGTTTGGGTTTAAAATTCGAGAAATTTAAGTTATTATCCACAAGTGGTGTTTATTTGAATTTGGGGAAAAATGGATTGAATCTGTTAAGCACATCAATAACACATCTCCAAAGGCCTCAAAGGCTTTACCATACTATAAAAAGTGAGAGGACGGTGAATGGATATGTTTTTAATACTGCTGTTTTGCTATAAAAACAAAAAAAAAAACAAAAATAAAAAAAATCATCAAGCAGAAAGATCTCGACGTTAAGCAGAAAGAATGCCTGTAGTGACTTCAAGCTCTGCCGTCAGCAGGGATGCTAGTAATTAGAGCTGTATTTCAGTTTTATCCCCAACAATATAACTCAAAAAACATTTAAGGTGGCATGCAAATCCCCTCTTGTATTTATGAAAAAACTGCTGGTTATCTTATTTATTTTGCATGTAAGGGCTACATATCATTTTAAAATACCTTGAGTAACCAGAAAGTTTGTCAAAGAAACTATATAGTAACTACGTGACAAAAACTACTCATGATGTACAAGTTATAATGCTTAAAGATTCTATTGCTAGAATTATGGAGGATGCCACTGCGTGCCTTATAATCTAAAGAGGTCCTAAAGTTCGTCTTAAAAAAGGAAAAATAGAAATAAGAATGCTCAAAGTGGTTTCATCAAGATAATAGTCCAAATTTTATTCTTGAAAATTTGGCTACGAAACCCGATGTCCTTACAATCTTGTCCTTGAAAGTGGCAGCTGATTTCACGTGAAAAATCATCAAATATTTGCACGAAATGTGAAAGTAAGTGCAAAGTTTAACTTGATTTATGCTTGTGCAAAGTTTAACTTGATTTATGCTTGCACCCAAGGAAGAATTCTTTCGGTTACTAATGACTTGACTAATCAAAGGTTTTAGCTTAAATGTGTGTAACCGTACTGTCGTAGAGAACAACTTTTTTCTTATGTCGAATTATATGTTGCTTGAAAAGGTATTGGAAAGGACAGAGAATGGCTTGAGAATATGTGCAGTAAAATGTAAAGTAATTAGGTAATTTTGAAAAATTGTTGAGGAGTTCTTTCCGTGAACAATCAATAGTTTGCATAAGGATGTACTCAATTTGCTCCTACTAAGATGTAGGAGATTTTGAATTAGTGAGTTTCTTCTCTCATAGTTACTGGTTTGTTGTCTTCAGTAATTTTTCTTTGAGTTTGGGCATTTTCTGTTATTTTCTGCTTTGTTGTTTTGGCATTTGTGAGTAAATTATTTCTATCGATGCCTCCATGGCAGCAGTGAATCTCAGAGATGGCCCAGTGTGGGAAGGTACAAAATAGACCTCTCATCATTTGAATCATTGGTTTTACCTGAGTTGCAGGTCAGTTAATTTTCTTATGCAAAATACAATTGATATTGGAGTTTAGTATTTAAACTCTATGTGAGAACATGGAGATTCATTTGAAATATACCATTCTATTATGTTCCCTTTCTGAAACAACGACCATATGTCAAAGTTGTACTTGTAGTTTGTATGATAGCAACATTTTTTTTTATGAGGCTATATAATAAGGATAACTACCTTATCGGTTATTTTTTTGTGATTGAGCTTTTATGATACGTTACAAGAGACAGGACCCCATGAATAACTGAATAACCACTTGTGTACCAATGGAGTCATCATATTCTAACTCTTTATTTAATCTTAACAAATATCATCTAAGTCGACATAAAAGATTCATTTAGTAACATATTTGATGTAGTTTTTTTCCAGATTTGTCTCTTGTTTATACGCTACTGAAGTTGTAGTTAATTAAAGTTGACTTAAGCTCCTTAATTACATGTAGGCAGTTCTTGTTCTTTTTATAAAGTGGGTGTATCTTGCATCTTTGAACTAAAATGAATTCTGATCAGGTTCAAGGGGATACCAATCTTTTCATTATCGATGAAGTTGGTAAAATGGAACTTCTCAGTTCGTCATTCTTCCCTGCTGTGTTAAGGGTTCTGGATTCAAATATCCCTCTTTTGGCTACAATCCCTATTCCAAAATCTGGCAGAGATATTCCTGAAGGTACATATTCTATCCGAATTCAAGAACACCGGGTGAAATAAAACAACATATCATGAATCCATTTTCGAATATTTCTAATTGGTTTATTTTGTTGTATTATACATTCACACTTGCTTAGCTGAATCAATCTGGTTGGTGTAGATATGTTCTAATATTCCATCACATCATACATAGTACATAAGTTCTATTGTAACAAAATTACAAAGGTTATGAACTGTTTGATGTCGACATACTATCTTTCTCTTCTTAAAATATGTTGAGGCTTCGTCTCAAATGTTTTCTGTTGCTTGTATTTTGATATTTGAATGGGCTGATGAATGTTCATTCATTCATCCACAATATACTATGCATGCTATTTTTGCAACAAATTGATTGCCGTTAAATTTAATAACCAACTTGTCATTAATGTTTTCTAAGATGCTGATGCCTCAGGCTTGTGCATTTATTTCATGTTTTATGAATTGGCATGTTATCTATGCAATGCTTGGTTTTGCAGTTGGAATTTTGAAAAATCATCCAGATGCTACTGTCTATTTGCTAAACACAAGTAATAGAGATGCCGTGCGAGAACAATTATACTCAAACTTGGCGGATATTTTGAAGATTCACTAGATACCCTCCCAAAAGGTCATGCTTTCCACTTTTTGGATCATAAATAAAAGCCTAATATATAGGTGTTTATTTGAATTGGTCAGTTCTTCATTCTATAATGTAACATTAGTGTTTCTATATTTCAGATATTCTACATGTTTGGAGTACATTAGGAAAAGGGTTAATTGCAAATAAAATCTTAACCTTTTGTCTAATTGCAAATAAAACTCAACTTTTTCAATTTGGCAAAAAAAATCAAACTTTTAATAAGTGTTGCAATTGTGTCTCAATCACCTTCCGCCGCCACCGGACCGCCGCCAACCGCCAACCGCCGGCGGCCAACTTCGCCGAATGTTGAAAATTTTTATATGATCTTGTAGCTCTCCTCCGTGCCGACAACATATTCGAGTTTCACGAAAAAAATTCCGACAATAAGGCTTTCAATTTTCCGGTCAAAGCATGTAGATCTATAACTTTTCTTCGGCGTTCTTTCGCAAATTCCTAGTGACTCGCTTTGACCCACGTGAATCCGAAGGTACCGTTGAACTCCTCTCGCAAAGCCGCATCTAGTGACGTCCACCTTCACCGGAACCGGTGACTTTTTCCGGTGAGCTCCTTATCGTCGGAATTTTTTCGTGAAACTCGGATATGTTGTCGGCACGGAGGAGAGCTACAAGATCATGTAAAAATTTTCAACATTCAGTGAAGTTGGCCGGCGGCGGGTGGCGGTTGGCGGTGGTCCGGCGGCGGCGGAAGGTGATTGAGACACAATTGCAACACTTATTAAAGGTTTGATATTTTTTTGCCAAATTAAAAAAGTTGAGTTTTATTTGCAATTAGACAAAAGGTTAATATTTTATTTGCAATTAACCCAAAATGCACTTCCGGAGAAGTGTTGTCACAACTTTTCATATTTTATTGGTTAATTTACATTTGTACTGCAATTTTTAAAATAATTTTCATAAATATAACATTTTTTATTAAAATTTTAGTTTTATGAAGAATATATTTTTTTATTGTAATTTTTTTCTCTAAATTTAATTTAGTTTATTTGTAGTTTACTAGTAAAACACCCATTCAATGCGTGAGAATAATATTAAAATAAATTTATAATTTTTCTTTCATATTAAGTTGATTTTTTAAACTGAAAGAGGTGCAAGGTGAACATAATTATCACGAATAATATTGTCTCATCATTTTGTTCCTATAAGAAACCACTCGTTATATGATTAACTAGTCGTCTTTGCACGACCGACTTAAATTTAGTCTAAAATCTAGTAAAAATTTATCGTCCCTTGAAATGATCAGTCAAATGTAAATATATATTTTAAACGCTGTTATTGAATTTGACCACAAATGAAATTTATGCTCAATAAATTTTGACAAAGTCTGCATTTCATAACAGTCTAAATAAGCTTGTAATTTTTTAATCTCCTGATGTGGATATTGGCGAAATTTGATTGAAACTTTAGCATGGGCTCATAAACGCACGCCTTTGGCCAATTTGACTCGATGGAGAGATGAACTCGTGGCCCTTTTCATTGTGCAAACAAGATTGGTTGGATTGTCTCGGTCTTGGCGTTTGTCAGAGAATTGCCAAAGCACCTCACCGGGAGCAGTGGATCCAACCAACGGCAATAGTAGGCGGCAAATTCGAAGCGCTCTGGCTCATCGTCCACCACTTACGAAGCAAAAGGACGTCATCGAAGCTACTGTAATATTTGTGCCTTTCACCTCCAAGAAAACCTCAGGGAAGTAGTTTCCTCATCGGTTTTCCTCTCTTCCCCTAAAAGCATATCATTAATTTCAAGTCACATACATGTATCATAAACAATGCAAGTCCATTAGTTAGGGCAATCAAGAAGCTACCAAAATGGAAGAAAAATTTACTAAAAGGGAAAAGGACACATACGTTAGAATATTTGAATTCAAACGTCACACAAATATATATTAATATATTTAGGGCTGAATTAACCATATAAAACAAACAATAATCTCAATAGTTATAAATTAACTTTGAATGTAAATTTACACATACGTAGTCCTTGTTCTGTTGCAAAACAAAAAAATAGAGGAACTACTAGAAGTTTGATAATAAGCAGAGTTGTTGGTATATCTATACTGCGACATCATTAACAATATCGCACGCTTCTTTTCTCTTCGACCATCAACATTAATATACGTGTAAATGGATGTAGGGCCGTGTAATGCAAGATGACAAATTGATCGGCATAATTCTTTCTCACTTATGTTTTCTTTCACACGTTTTCTTCCCATGTCAACGTTAACCATACATGCCTGTAATGGAGTATATATGCAGTTTTTTCCTCAAGCTGGCTTTTCATGTCCAGCTTTACAGAACCCCTTTGATCACTTTATCTGCTGCATTAACTCCGACTTTGACAAGGTTAAAGCGAAACTAAAAGGATAAATGAAAATAAGGTTATATTCCATAAAGTTACTTGTCCTATTTCTTTTGCTGCATTTCAATATTATACATGGTTCCAAATGAAAAACGGTTCTCACGGTTCTTACACCAGGGCTAGTTTTTATTTGAACCAGCCCCTATATATATATATATATTTTAATGGTTTTATGCAGCTAGATGGCTCATTATATTTCATTCAAAAAGGAACTGTGTTAGATTCTGGAGGGAGCCAAGCAAGTTTCTTCACGCAGGCTATTAGTTTAACTGCAAGCTCATTTGTTATTATGCCAAGAGGCTTTTTTTTATCAGTGTTTGAGGCTTGTTATCTGTGCCATGGTCAAAATTTGCATTGGAACCATTTACTCGAACGTCAGAACAAGCTACAATTCGCTCCTGGTAATACGATTAGTATCGGACAACAATGCCTTTCATAAACTCTCCACTTATTCATCAGTAAATTAATATTCATTTGTAAAAGAAATTAAACACTCAATATGCAAAACCAACCTCGTCACTGCCTTCCCCATCTTCATCATCATGAATAACTTTAATTTATCCAATTGTTCATCATCATCACCTTCTCCAGACTATATTACATGTTGAAAAGAAATAACACAGCAAGTTACAGATATTTCTTATTTAATGGAAGTAAAGCTGATAACGAAAATAATGGCAAATGACAAAAAGTTTACCATCAAAGCAAAACAAAGAGCAGTACCCTCGGGCTATGCGGTTTGATCAACTCCCTAAAAATAATAATAGAGCTGCTGAAGCAAAAAGAACGGTAGTAAAAAATGGCAACAAAACAACATAAAAATAAGGTATAAACAACAACAGACAAACATATCATAAATTTACATTAGCAATCCACAACCCACAACAAAATAAATAAATAAAAATTGAAATATAAAGATGTAGCCATGAATACCTGTAGTGGAGAGGTACTATAGAGACCACCAGATAGGAATCGAGTACTCCGCGGTGAGCCGGCCAGCCAATTTGCAGAGCACCAAACTGAATTGGTGCTCGGTGACTAAAGCGGAAGCTAGTTATCTCACAGCCGTGTGATCGAAATTGTGGTGGTGGCAGGTGGGCTTACATTTGTCCCGTCAATTTGGCCGGTGGCACTAAATTTTTTTATTTTTTTATTTCTATTTTCCATTTAAAGCAATTGGCTACACAAAACCCTCTCCGTCACAGGAGAAACTTGAAATGAGCGGTCATTGGCGTTGGAAGCCTTATCACTTTCCTGAAGAAGATCTAGGGTTTTGTGCGAGCTTTATCGGAGTCACGTGATTTTTATTCGCGGTAGGAATGGAGACGGCGGCAGTCGGATGATCAGAGAGGGGCTCGGCGCTGGCGACAGAAGAGTGGCCGAAGAGCCAGTAGCAAAAATCCATTCGATTAATTCATTCAATAATCCTCTAAAATCAAACTCACTATGCTGATAACATAAACTTGATTCAAAACAAAACATACCAATATCTCATGCCCAAGCCTTCATAGGTTTGTTTGTTGTCAATTGTGACTCAGGCCGCAAAATAAAACAGGAAAATAAGTCATTTATGAACCGGAATAGTTTCAGCATTTAAAGACGTCATACAGAAATTATATGACTAACTGAAATCAAAACTACAAAAAAAAAACAAAACTACAAAAAAAAAAAAAAAAAATCTTAGTTACCTCTTTCTTGTCAGGCTCTTCCTTCTCAGATAGAATCAACTCGGGGCGACAAGGGTATGACATGTAAGCTGAAAGGAATTTCCTCATGTTAGTAGCTCTAAATATTAAATGAAACAGTAAATATGTCTCAAACTTAACATCGCAACGCACAAAACAAGACATTAGCCAACACGAATATATAATAATTGTACTGCAGAATAATGAAAACTTCAAATTGTACATAATTTAAAAGAAAAGGTTCAACATACGATTGATTCTTCCATGAGCACGGCTTCTGAAAGAGGCGTGAATGGAGAAATAGCGAGCACTAGAAATTTAGGTTTGAACTTTGAACAAGGAGAGTGAAAAAATAAGACCCCATCCCGTCAGGCTCCCGCCAGAACTTCATTCATGCATCACCTCCGTCGATGTTTCGGGTGGAACCCAAAAACTCAATCGATTTCGACTCAATTTCTTCATGAACCGGGCATGGGTTCTGCGCAAAGGACGCCGAAGGGTCGAAACCGAACCACTGCTTGTAACGAAGATAGAGAGGATGAGGAACCTAAAAAGGATTTTAAGAAAGCTGTGGTCGCCGATCTCCCAGTCGCAAAAAATCTGAAATGTCTATTTCTTGGTTCACTCGATGCCACCCGCGAGGGTGGCACCATTGGGTGTCATTAACCATTTATTATTATTACTTTATTCAATAGTATTTTTACTATGTTATTTTTATGCAATTGTTATTTGATTTTGTAGATTTATTAATCTCTTTAATTTTTCTTCACTTTTCATTATAATAAATTTTTCTTATGCTCATTTTTATTTTTAAATCGTTGCCTTACTCTAATACTACTTGTTAACATTTTTGATTTGTAATCTTTTTTATATAAATATTTTTTTAAATTCTGATTTAAATACCATTTGTAAATTATTGTTTATAAATTAATTCAATACCCTAAAGATATAGTAGTATCTTTTTCTTCTAATGTTTTCATTTTATTTTCTATTCTTTCTAGTTTTTCAAGAATAAGCTGATTAGTATCAGGTTCTTCTTTATTTTCTTCCATATGTTTTTTAATATCTTTATTTAAAAAGTCTATTGATCTAGTAAAATTATTTCTAATAATACTTTTCTTTTCAGAACATTTAAATTCACAATCTAATTGAGTTCTACAATTAGAAAGAAATTCTTTTAATCTTTGTGTTTCTGAAAGTCTTGTTTTTCTTTTAGATATTTTTTCTGGTCTGATTTTATATACTCCTTTTTTCGAAGACATTTATATTATTGTTTTAGGTGGTCCTATTTTATTTATTTTCTTAAATTTTTGCTTATACCTTTGTATGTCATAATCTAGCTGTTTTAATCTTTGTTCATCTTTTTCTATGCATTTATATTGTATAGATTTCTCTATTAAATAATCTACCTCTTTAATTTCCCTTTTATTTATCTCAACTAATTCAAGGTTCATATCTTTCCTATCCATTATTACCAATTTTATATTTTATTATTTAAATTTATAACTAATGAGCTTAACTCATTTACTTGTTTGTTTAATTTTTCTATTTCTATATTTCCTTTATATAAACTATTGCTACTATGAGGTTCTTCAATTTATAGAACTTTTAGTAAATTATTTCCAGTTAGCTTTCCTAGATTTGAAGGATTACTAAATGATCGTCTACTATGTTCTCTTAAGAATTCTTTTTGGATTCTATCATTTTTAATAATAGTACTGGTTTCATTGAATATTTTTTATGTATATATTCTTTCTTGATTTTGATAATTCATGCTTAGACTACTATTGCTTAATGCATACGCTGTTCTATAACAGACAACCATAGGTATATCTCCTGATTGCATTAATGTTTTTTCTTGAAAATTATATATTATTCCTATGCAGTTATTGATTTTCTTGGTCGTCAAGGGTATAGGGAATTGTAATGATATGTTATATTAATTACTCCATACCCTAAATCTCCTTCTATTTTTCCTAACTTTCTTGATTCTTTATGCATGGTTCTATTATCTTCAACTTTTATATTTACGGGTGTTTTTATTCCTTCTCTAAATGTTGATCGTTATACTATTTGTACTGTGTTTATGTGTATATAACTTATCTTTTTCCTATCTTCTTCTTTTATTTTTTCTAATCTCTTTTCTATTTTGTTTATTTCAACTAAGGGTGCTTGAAAATTATAATTTGCTTGTTCTATTTTAATCGGTTGTTCTCCATTCATTATTCCATAATGTATTATATTTTTTCTATTTAATTTTTCTAATATACTATTATTTATTCCTTCTTTCTTTTCTAGATCTAAATTTCCTTTATTTTTTTACTTTCGTTACTACCCTTTTATCTAATAATATATCTGATAAATAAATTCCTTGTTTTTCTATATTTTCTATAACATGATATTCTTTATCCATTATTTATCTTTTATTATCTTATATTTAGAATTCTTAGTCTTATTTGAACACTTATACTAAATGCTTGGTACTCAGCTTTCTTTATTAACTCTTTAATCCTATTATTTGAAGAAGTAATATTATCGCATATTCGAAAATGATCTTCTACTGAATGTTCCTTAGGTGCATAAATTTTTACTAGGTTGAATAACATTTGTTCATTTTCTTTTAACATTTTTGTTAATGAAGCAATTTGTCTATGAATGCTTTGAGACAATCTATATCCTTATGTATTTCTCTATATGACATATTCAAAAAATCATTAATATCCATAAATATTCGAATTTTCAAATATAATTTTTAAGAGAGAAATAATAAGCTTTGGATAAGAACATACCTTCCTTTATTGGTTAATTTGTTTAAAGACACCCTTTCGTCTTCTTGGCCTATACTCAATTTCTAGCAACGACCTCGACTATCTGGGCTGTGTATTTGTCCCTCCAGAACTTTTTAACCGATGTTTGGAATGTTTTTCTTTTCCTTGCTTATTATTTCTAAATGTATTTAGTTACTCATGTAGTATGAAACACACATCTTTTATTTCATAGAAATAATTACAAGACTCGAGTTTTTCATACAGACTTGAGCTCTGCCTTAGAATGACAAAGTCTCGACCCTTAAATAGGCGTAGATCAGGACATGTCCCTGTCTTACGCGTTTTGATTAAGTGGTTGTCGTGAAGCGACAAGTCACATCTACTTTATTAAAGACAAGATAAGATGCTTGACTATTACATCCACCTACTACTTCTTTTTGTCAATTACATTTACCTACTCCACTTGCTACATTATTGCCTATCTACTTTTACGAATTTCATCCACCTACTGCATTATTGCCTATATACCTATTACGTTATTGCCAACTTGCTTGATAATTATCTTTGCCTACTACATTATTCTTCAATAGGCTTGCTTTCTTCTTCATGATTTGGGCTGCATATTTCGCATACATGATCTTCTGCAAATTCTTCCTTCAACCTGATGCAGACTTCTTGTTTAATGGACTTAGGCATTTCATACTTGATTTGAATGACTCGTTCCATAAATTTGTTTAGTATCTCAACATCTAAAGGCATTGGTTGCCTTGCTTGCATACTCCATAATAAAACAGATTGGGATGAATAATTAATTCTTCCCTTTACTCTAGTGCTTTTTCCGAGTATAATCACATAATTGTTTAAATAATGTGTTAACTCGTCTTCATGCTTTGCTATTCCTAGATCTGGATAGTTTTCATTACTAACTCCAATTTGGCATAATTGTATGGCTGGCTGTATAACTTTCCCCTCCTCAGAAAAATTGGGAATTGTTGCGAATATTTTCATGAATCCTTCTTTTTTGTTGAGAAGCTTGCTGGAATATGAGTGAATAGCTTGTGTAAACTTAGTCAGGAAATACTGAAAGATATCAGTACTTCTGAAGTATATACAACTAAGTAACCCGGATTGGAACATCATATATGTCTTTATTGGATCGACTTCTGGTAGACTAACTGCTTTCCGTCCTGTGAAATAACTTTCAACAGGATAAATGCTTGTTGCTTTGCCTTTGTCTGAGTAATTTAGGAGAAAATTATATTCTGCTTCGAATAATTTTCTTGTTAACTTAGTACTTTCTTCTTTTTGCTGTCTAGTCTGAATTTGGTTGATGGTGAGTTGTCTTCGACTTGAAATTTTTCCAAGTACTTGTTACTTTTTCTCCGACGATGAACTTGATGAAGATGGTGTCTGCACTTTTCCTGCGTATGTGGATTGAAAATCTCTGAGTGCATCTTTGGCTTCCTGAAGGCTTAAGAATTTTTTGTGGATTACATTGTGTCCCGTGATAAAAATCGCTGCCTTACTCCATGCATCGTATATTCCTTGATTTGGTCCAGTGAATATAACATAATGCGCTTTGGCTCGTTCTTCTTCATCATATTCCTTTTTTCTTTCTTTTTCATTACTTTCTTTATCTTTTTCATTTTCTTTTCTACTTTATTTTTCTTTTCCTGGATTCAAAACTAGATTAATAGCCTGAACTTCTTTTTCCTTTTTACTTGCCTCTATCTGACACTGCCTCACTGTTTCTTTCAACTGCCTTATTTCTTCTTCAAGCTGGTTTCTTTTTTCCATTAAAATTGCTGCAACTGACTCCATTCTCGTGTAAGAGTATCTGCTAAGTAATTTTCTTTTCCTGGGATATACACAGAAATATAATCAAATTGTTGTGCTTTTAGGCTCCATCTAAGAATTCTACCTTTATTGTAGGATTCTTTCAATCGGTATTT